CCTTACTCTATTTATCAAAGCCCTTTCCATTTTCATATTTGAGATCAGACAAAGTTATTACAAATGTCATAATGTATCCCATAAAGAATTCTGAAGAATCTTAACTGAAATATTAGTCCTTGAAAAACGTAACCACATAAAATAAGATAATTTTGGAATTAATGTTTAATTTTCCCCATCTATAAGACGTTAGCAGCAAAGGCTATTCGTATATGCAACGTATTTGTAGTTGATTTGTTGATGGAGTCGCTTCATATTGACACAGGCCCTGGTTGTTCATCATTGGCTTATGGGGCGATGCAAGAGCTTGGACCATTTCGTGTACACAGCAACGGGAAAACTCTTTACAGAAACAGATATTCATGGAATAATGGCATGATTTCTCTTCAATGTTTATTCTTATCTTTCAATAGAATAATGTAAAAAATGAGGTTAGTTTTTTGGGGATTTTCTTGATAAATTAATTTGAGGTGCTTTTTTTTTTTCAGTTGCAAATGTGTTGTTTGTGGAGTCCCCTGCTGGAGTAGGGTTTTCATACTCTAATTCAACGTGGAGGACTAATGGAGATAGACAAACAGCTGCAGAAAATTATAGGTTCCTTGTAAATTGGTTAGGGAGATTTCCCGAATACAAAAACAGAGATTTTTATATAGCCGGAGAGAGCTATGCAGGGCACTATGCGCCTCAACTTGCACAGACTGTTCTTCATCATAATAAGAAGGCTAATACGACTATTGTCAACCTCAAAGGGGTCCTGGTATGCGTCTCCCCTCCTTTTATCTGTTCATTTTCTTAACACATGGAGTTCTTTCTTCGCATCCCTCTCACTTATTAGTTTAATTTAGTATCAAAAACTTGAGTTTTTCAAGTAGAGTAATTATTTGCTTTTAATCAATCAACATAATTTATCTCAAGAAATTTCTGATCATGAGCACATTATTGAAATTGAACTCTTATCCAATCCAGAAGATTAAGCTAATAATACAGGATGTTTATTCTTAACATAATGCATGTGTAAGGTCCAGCATTGCTATAGTGCAGATTGGAAATGCTGCGATAGATGATGAAACCGATAATCAAGGGATGTATGACTTCTTTGGAACCCATGCTCTAATTTCATATGACAACTTGCGTAAAATCCACCGTTACTGTGATTTCTCAAGAGCCCATGAATCTGCCGAGTGCCGTCATAGCTTGTTGAAAACAGATGCAGATGTTTGGAATGCTATTGATGTTTACAACATCTATGGTCCCTTGTGCCTTGACGGAAATCTCACATCGAGGCCCAGGAAGACTTCAGTAAGTAAAAACAAGTTCTTCTCAACAAATAGAAAGAAAAAAAATGCATGAATAATAATAGTACTTTGTTCCAGTTTTCACTTATTTTCTGGGCAAATTACTTCTGTTTTTTAGCGAAATTGGAAGTTAAGTCTGTCGAGTATGGAATTGAAACTCGGTGATTTTTCTGATGATCTAAAAACCTGATCAATGATCAAGTATATATGTGACTTAGCTGGAACTACTTTGTGTGGCAGTTGATGAACTTCGATCCCTGCAGTGATTATTACGTGTATGCATACCTTAATCGACCTGACGTCCAAGAAGCCATGCATGCCAATGTCACCAAGCTCACTTATGATTGGGAACCATGCAGCGATTTCGACTGGGTTGACAGTGCCTCTACCATTCTTCCCTTGGTAAAGGAGTTGATGGAAAATGGACTTCGAGTATGGTTATTCAGGTTAGTAACATTAATCGTGTTGTTGTTGGTGAAATGCCATAGCGCCTACCAAGCTTTGCGAAGTCCCAAAAATTTTCACCAAGAAATGGAAGTGGTGTGTCCTCAAGAATTAGAACAGCCCAACCCTGTCAACATTTAAAAAGAGTTGCCCATTATTAGTAGTTAAAACTTGATCTTCAATATGGAAGGCCTTGAGTTAAAGTTTCAATTATAGATAATTTTGGTATTATAAAAATGATTGTTATTTTTAAAGTATTTTTTATTTGAAAATTTATTAAAATAATATTTATTTTTTATTTTTTAAAAATTATTTTTGATATCAACATATCAAAATAATTTAAAACAATTAAGATATCAACATATCAAAATAATTTAAAATAATTAAAATAATTATTAAAAATAAAAAATAAAAAAAATAATAATTTATTAAAAATATTTTTTAAAAAAAAACAAAAACAATTAGCAACCTGTAACACTTTTAGCTATCATCAGCTACCTAACATAGAAGATTCTTTCAAGAAAACAAGATATTCTTTCAAGAAAACAAGATGGGTCCTTAACGACAAAAGGTGATGAAACCTAGAGCAATCATTTCTAAGCTTCAATGGATTGGTTATGGTGGCTTAAAAGGAGATATTTTTTTTAAAATTAGTATATTTTAAAAAAATCTTGGTGACTATCACAATTTAAAAAAATAAATTAGTAAAATATCACATTTTTATTTTGTTATATTTATAAAATAAATGATTTAGAGTTTTATCATTTGAAAAGTGAAACTCTAAATCATTTAGCTTAATTGGCCAACTGAATGCATTTGCATTCAGTTGTATAAATTGATTTACTGTTTTATATAAAAACTATAATTTAATAATTTTTTTTTAAAATATGTATTATGAGTTAAAATATACATATTTATCCAACTTGTAGATATAAAAATAAACTTTAATTACAATTGTAAAAAGTTATTGTTCACACATTAATTATCTTTTATTTTTTAATGTCAATGATATATTCAGGCTTGCAATAATAAAAGATTCTGATCAGTATAAGTCTGTTATAACTAAAAAAAATTTGTTCTAAGCAGATTAAGTAGATGATTTAACAAATATATTTATAAACCAGTAGGTAAAGTTTAGTTCCAATACGAGGTCCAATCACACTATACTAAAATAATGGTTTTAAAGGCTATATTTTTTTATTTAACTATTGAATCGTGTTTAAATTTTTATAGGAGTTTTTAGATATTATTTTTCTTGTAGTAATTAAAAACCTCATTGAGACTCCTTAATTTTAACCATTTTTAAAAAAAATTTATTACGTCATTGAGACTCCTTAATTTTAACCATTTTAAAATTTTTTTTATTACTTTTGGACCCGCTCAATCGGTTTCACTTGTCATTATAAACTAACCAATCAATTAACAAATAATTGGAGTTTTATCTTGTTGCAATTTAAAAACATGATATTTATTAAAAATCATATTTTTTAAGTGCGACAAGATAAAAACATTCTAACTCCACTTGTTTTGATTTTGTGTGCCGATTTCCTAGTTTATCTCTTAAAAGGGCAAACTCATATACGCCGTTGCTTGAAAATAAAAAGGTTAATAATTTTGACCAGTAACATGTCATCTTATGTTCGTATCAGTTTTCACCACCACCCTCCCTTTCTTTTCATAAGGCCGTTTTGACATAAGATATGCTTACTGATCATTTGTTTCAATGGTGTGCAGTGGTGATACAGACGGAAGGGTACCTTTTACTTCTACCCAGTATGCAATTAACAAGATGAAACTTCCTATCAAAACTGAATGGTATCCATGGTTCCACGGTGGGGAGGTAAACTTCTTTTTTTATCACTTCAGCATTTACTGAATTCTATCATCTCGAGTAAACGAGTTCCAAAACAATGGAAGAACAGGTTGGTGGGTATGTACAAGTATACAAAGGGGACTTGACATTCGCAACTGTAAGAGGGGCTGGACATATGGTACCAAGCATCCAGCCTGTGAGAGCATCTGCATTGATCAGTCACTTCCTTGCAGGCACACCTCTTCCATAGCCAATGCCGAAGTCTAAAGCCTGATTTCCGTACTACCCTTGAGTTTGCAATTCTTTGTTTCATTAGGAAACAGTAGAGTGTTACGTCAATTGATGTGATTCTCTTCATCGCCTAATGGACACTTGTTCAAGTCAAGCCTGTGGATTATACGGGAAAAATAAGGATGATCTTACCAGAAGATTCTTCCTCAAAAAATTTCAATTATTGGATTTATGGGATCCGCCAAAAAAATCTACTCGTTCAATGAATGCTACTAGCTCCTTGAAGTGATCTTTCCTTCTCCTTCCTTTCCAACATCAAGTGTAGCTGAGTACCAAGCTGCGCATACAAGTAGCAACTATCGATGAATTACAATCCTAGATAAGCATAGAAGGAATTATGGAGGAAACAACTCATGATTAAAACCTTCATGGATATCAATAACTTTGAGGCTTTAGCTTCACAACCTGTCCGAAGATAGCGTATGATACACACCAATACAAAAGACTAAGCATGGGATATCTAACCAAGATAAAGAAAAACATGAAACCACAAGATCACCAAATAATCCCAACTCTTGCTCAAATACCAATTCTTCATCACCCTGAAATAACTGCTCCTCCCTATGGAGTTCCCTAACAACACCGCAGATGGCAGAGGCAGAGCATTTCACCTGAAAGCTTGGAAATGGTTTGGACTGTGGCCAGAGCTCTATGAAACTAAACGATCGTACCAACCAAACAGTTTTTCTTCTGAAATAAATTCTAGACATTATGATTGCCTCTTTTATCAACAAAGTGATTTTTAATGAATGTTTAACAAAAGAACACATTCACAGAGATGAACAGCCTGAATTCTTCGGGCAGGAAGCAACAAGTTCTGCTGTGATAGTTCATATCCAAACAACCTGACATAATACCATGGAAAATCCTTTTCCCGTCAAAATTAGAATTAAACACACCTTCCAGCAAGCCAGAAACAGAACACCTTCGTTTCGGTAATTCAATTTTTATTTTTTTTTATTAAATGTAATAATATAATAAATCAAAATAAAACAGGGTAAGAAGTTGGCAAGTCATATATATACACATACAAAATCAGAAGCAAAAGGGAACACACTCCTATTCATCAAAATAATTCAAAATATTATTGATTACAGAAGGGATACATTTTACATACGTATATGAAAGAGACATATAACAAGCAACCCCATATTTCTTTACATGTCATGGCCATCATCTATCTCCACACAAGGGATGTGGGAAATCAATGGCCAGTACACTCCTTTCTCCTTGGAACAGCGCCGTGTCATTAACGGACAGTCCCTGATGCTGAATCTTCCAAGAGCATGAGGTAGGCATCCCCTAGGCAAGGACTTTAATTTAGGACAATCAACAATTTCTAGCTCTTCTAGATAAGCAAGGCTTTGGAGCTGCATGGATAGAGATTCCAGATTTGGAAGTCTTCCAATCCAAACAGAAGTTAGGGTTGTAGGAAGCAGACACTTCTCATCTGGAAAGGAAACTGTGTCCGAAAAACATCCACCAGCGATACTGAAATCTCTGAGGAAGGCTAGACTTTGCAAGTTCCACTCTGACAGGCACCCATTGAGACGATCACAATCCCAGATCTCAAGCGATGTCAAGTTTGGAGGCATATCACCATTTGGAAAGGATTCCAGAGCTGGGCAGCTACAAATTGTCAGTTCTTGCAGGGATGTGAGTTTTTGCATCGCATTAGGTAGAGACTTGAGATTTTTGCAATTGTATAAAGTCAACGTTCTGAGGTTAGCGAGGGAAAAGCCAACTCCTGAAAAGTGCTTGAGTGCAGAACAATTACTTAAATTTAATTCAGAGAGATGCTTGAAGCTGCTAAGGCACTCAGGAAAGCTTGACAGGGCTTCGCAGTCTGAAATGGCTAGGTATTCAAGGGACATATCATCATGCAACATCATTTCTGAAAGAGGCTTCAATTGGGAACAATCCCAGATTTTTAGTGTCTTGAGTCGAGGTGGTAATTTCCCATCAGGAAAGGACTTGAGAGATGGACAGCCAATGATCTCCAGGTGCTCAAAACGAGACAGGGTGCCAGGGCCATTTTTGTTGTGCATCAAATCCTCAGGCAGAGACTTTAATTCTGTACAGTATCGAATCTTCAACCCTTTTAACGTCACAGGTAACATCCCTCCTGGAAAGCATTTGAGCGAAGGACACTCTTCTATCTCCAAGTCTTCAAGAAGACAATTGCTCATGCCATCAGGGAGGGATCTAAGAGCTTTGCAATCCCGAAGTACTAGATGTCTCAGTGACGATAAAAGTCCAGCTTCAGGAATGTACACAAGATTTGGACATGATTCAATGCACAGATCCTCGAGAGACAATAGCATGGGCACCCTTTGGATTGGCAGAAGATCCAGCTTACCACAGCCTGACAATTTCGAACTTTTATGTGTGCTGGACATACCATTCTCTGTCGATGACACAAAGTGAGGATGTTCAAAATTTTCCAATCCAGTTCCTTTCTGCCACAAGGAGGTTAGTTCTGGAAAATCAGAAATCATCAGAACTTTAAGTGCTCCCAGTGACAGCAGAAACTGGCCCTCCAAACAAGTAATCCTTGACATGCTCCCAAGTTTCAATGTGATTAGGGAGGAGTTACGAAACATGCATTTAGGTGTCACCTCATCACATTCTTCTAATTTCAGTTCACTAAGCACTGGAAGCTTTTCGTCTGAATCTACCAAAATTGGGCATTTTGCAATCGTAATCTTTACACAGGAAGGAAGACAGCTAGGGAACTTGCCAAGCAACTTGGGACAATTCCATAATGTAAGCTCAGAAAGACTAGGAAATTCTCCTTCAGCTTCTCCATCAACTCCAGCTGCGGACCAAGATTTCCATTCCTGCATATCCTCAAATGTCAAAGTCTTCAGAGATGGAAAAGGCTCGACTGAAGAACCATCTCCATAAAACTCAGGACCAACAGTCTCCACAGCATCCAGGCCTTGTATGCACAGATCCCTGAGTGAAGGTAGCCTCCCAAGTGGTGGCAATACAGTGCATTTCCAGCAAGAAGACAGTTTTAAGTGCACTATTTCAGAAAATGATGGATGTCCTACCCATGAAGGAAATTCTGTCCCGCCATAGTATGAAATCTTTAGTTCTTTAAGGTTTGTATGAGGTTTTAGTGAGTCCAGAACAAGCATTTGATGTTGTGGGCCTTTATCTTTAATGTCAATCTTAACCCATGCCAGTTCTAACTCATCAAGGTTGTGCTTGCCGCTTAAATTAGCATGAACTGCATGTCGAGCATCTATCACGTTATGCAATTCCATTATGGAAAGTCGGCCTTGAAGATTCTGCAACCCTCTCAATTCTTCAATTCCGCAGCCCTCTTTTTTTCCTACGATGAACTTTGACAATTTCTGAAGACCTGTCAAATTACCCATCCACGAAGGCATCTCAGCCAACTTATCAGTATCAGTAATATCCAGATGAAAAAGATTGATAAGATTCCCAGTCCCTTGTGGCAGCTTATCAAGCTTCCTGCATCCATATAATTTGAGAGTCTGCAAGTTTATGAGAGTGCTCACAGATTCAGGCAACCGCTTAATCTTAGTTTGAGAGAAATTAAGGTAACGTAACTGCTTCAAATCACCAATTGAATTTGGTAGCTCTGTAATGCAATAACCACTCAATGAAAGAACTCTTAAGCGTTTCAATTTGGACAGTGCCTCATGTAATACATTATTACTCAAGTAGCAATATGCAGCCCAAGGTGAAGAGTAAAGTCGCAATGCAATGAAAGTCCGCAGACGCTTCAGTTTACCCAGGTCTTTGAACCTCTGCAGCACCTCGTATGTTCGACGAGTGAATGACATATGGCGATTCTTTTCAGGAACAGGAAAGACCTTGTTATTTTCCAGCTTATCATTTAAATTGACACACGTTTCTCCAGCAATAGATTGAGCCAGATCACTGATAAGATGATGCATCAGATAACGTTGTTCATTGCTGCTTGATTGCTGGAAAAACGATCTTGATAATAATTCATTAAAACAAGAATAGAAGTCTTCCATCCGCTTCTTTCCTCTTGCATTTGGCAGAAATCCTTGGGCCATCCATAACAACACTAATTCATCCTTATAGAATTCATAGTCTTTTGGAAGTATAGAACAAAAAACAAACAATTGCTTCAAATATGAAGGAAGATGATAGTAGCTCAACCTCAAGGCTGGAACTATGCCGCCCTTGTGTTCTGATATATCCCACATTTTGCTATTAAGTACAGTTTCCCATTCATCAACATAAGGTTTGGTGCGCAAGAGGCCCCCCAGTGTTTTAACAGCCAATGGCAGTCCCCCGCACCTTCGAACTATTTTCTGGCCGATCTCCTGCAGGTCTGGCAGATCGCTGAAATTGGACCTTCCCAGTGCATGCTTTGCAAACAAAGACAGGCTATCCTCAAATGACAGTTCTTTCAAAAGGTAACACGGAAAAGCACTCATCATTAATGCAACATCTTGATTACGAGTTGTGAGGATGATTCTACTCCCTGGGGATGTCACTTGGAAAGGACGGCGAAGGACAGTCCAGTCATCATAGTTCTCATTCCAAACATCATCTAAAACAATAAGAAACTTCTTCCCCGCCAATTTCTCTCTCAGCCTAAGTTGAAGCAGATTCAAATCCTTCGCATCGTAACTCCCCGAAACTGCCTCAAGAATAGTTCTCGTAACCCTAACAACATCAAAGTCCTCGGAAACACAACACCAAACTTTCAAATCGAAAAAAGCATCTACTTTCTCATCATTGTAGACAAGCTGAGCAAGAGTGGTCTTACCCACACCACCCATACCTACAATAGGAATCACACCAATCCCGTACTCATCACACCCTTTATCACTAAAAAGCAACTTCAAGATTTCCTCTTTATCATTATCCCTACCAGAAACATAAGAAAGATCCACTAAAGAAGTACTGGGCAATCTTTTCAATGACTTACTCTTCAACACCCCTCCACTGCCATTCTCTCTAAGCTCAAGATTATTCTTCTTTTGAGCAATTTCTTGCAATCTAGCAAGAATTCTCTTAATCTTGGGGTCCGTTTTGTATGTTAAGAGAAAATTAGCATTAAAAGAGGGAAAGAACCAGTGCATGGCGCTCTTCACCTTACTTGAGCTAGCTCGTTGTTCCTCTTCAAGCTCAGTGAAAACCTCGTCGAGCAAATCTTCGATATCATAGGCCAATTCACGGATCTGATCAAGCCAGAGTTTGACAGCTTGGCTTCCCATCTGCTTCTCCTCTGCGTCATCAAGAACAGCATGGATCATATGCAAATTTGCCTCGAGTTTCTTGATATCAGAGTGGATTTTTCCTCTGCGAGCGAACTTGAGTAGCTCCAGAGAGCCTAACTGGTTGATTATATGGCTGATTGTAGCTGAAAGGATAGCGTCTCCGATAACAAGAGCCATAATTAAATTGCTGTCTCTGGGTAGCCTGCAAATGGCAAGTCGGCGAGGGTTTTTTGTATTTCTTTCATTTTTTTTCAAGAAAAAATAATTCAAGGATGTGTTTTACCAAACACGAAGAGAGAGAGAAGGAAACTGTCGATATTCGCTCTAGCTCGAACGATGTCGCACGGAGAATATTTTTTTGTCGCATGTGAATTTTTATTTTTATTTTTATTTTTTTATAAGAAAATATGTTTTGATTTTTTAATTTTTCCAAGCAAAATACTTTTTTAAATATTTAACATATCGATATCTTTAATTAAAGTCGGTCCGCACAAAAACTTGATCTTAATTAAATTATATACTTTATTACAGATAAGGTGTCTTGATTCGAACCCCCTCGCGAGACCGAAAACAATTAGGAATAAATTAAATTACACTTAGCCCAAAATAAATAAATAAAATAAATAATGTATTGAAATTAAAATAATAAGAAAATCCCGAACCCTTAAGCAAATATAAAAAAGCTTTATAAGATATGATATAGAGTGGTGCTGTCCACCGCGGCTTCCATGTGGATAGATATAAAATGGTGTTCAAATTGATTTGTAATTTGACCATAGGGTTGGTGGCTGCTTTTGGATGGAATTTTCAACTTTTTAATTAATTATTACGTCCTTTTGTCTAGAGATAGAATCATTTCACTTTGGAAAAGAAATCGTATGCACAAATAAATAATTAATTTGTTTTAAAAAATAAAAAAGAAAGCGCGCATAAAAGATAGCGGCCAAATAAAGCAATGAATTGTCAAAAGTTCTCAGCAGGCAAGGTGTGAAAAAAAAAGGGCACCTTCGTATCCTGCAAGTGAAGCAAACATAATTCTTTACAATAAAATATATTTTTTTTATATCAATTTTTTTCACCCGTGATTTTTATGTTTTTATAAACAAGAATAGTTTTTTATATTTTTTTATATGAAAATAATTTGAGATCAATTAAAAAATCTAATAAAATTACTATTTGGAGTCTCTATCTCAGTAAGGAAAAAAAATAGATATCTACTTCCCATCTAAAAAAATTAATCTATGTTTGATATATTTATGCATAAACAGTATATAAAGAAATATACATGAGCAATATATATAAAAAAATATATATGTTAAAATAAAATTATATAGATTAACAAAAATAAACAAATAATTCTTAGTTAAATAAATATATGGTGGAGTCATCATCTTGTCATATCATATATAATATCAAATGGCTGTCTTTTTAAATTAAAAGATATTTTTAAATTTAATTATAAACTTATAATGAAAAAAATTTATTATTTAGTATAATGGTTTTTAGAAAATCTATAATTTATAAAAATCTAACTAGAAAAACTAGTTGCCTTAAGAAAATATATATTACTTTAATACACTTTACTTAAAATAAAATATATTATTAATTAATTATTAATCTAAATTATATTTATATTTATTGATTTTATCTAAAGTTTAAGACAAATTTTTCTTTATAACAAAATGTTTACTTTATCAAATTAAATCTTAATAATTATAAAATTATAATTTTAACATTATATTTATTTTTAAATTTTAAAGTTATTTTTTTAATATTTTTTATTATTTTAATATGATTATTTAAAAAGTATATTATTTTTAATTTTTTAAAAAGAATAACCATCATGACAACAATAAAGAGTAGCTCGTCCAAGTTTTCAAAAGGCAAGCTCTGAAAAACGTGGGATGAAACGAAGTCGTTCTTCCTGTCTTCAAATTAAAAAACAAAGCACCTTAGTATCCTGAAACGAAGCATATTCTTCAAAATAAAATATATATTTTTTCTTTTTTCCATCAAATTTTAGCATCCATAATTTTTAATTTTTTTATAAACAAGATTATTCTTTTTACATTTTCTTATAAAAAAAATCAATTTTAAGATCAATTAAAAAATCAATTTTGAGATCATTTTTTTCCGGAAAAAATGGAGTATCAATCCCATACATGGCTAAGAGACTTGGTTCAAAATTAGATTACAGGTGGGATAGGTCAACTTGCAAATCAATAAATTTTTTTAAATTTTTATTTAAAATAGCGTTGTTGGAGACAATTTTTAAAATTAAATAATATTTTATAGAGAAAAATTAAATAAAAAGAAATTGATAGAATCTCATCTAGATTTTGATGCATTCACCTGGACCAAGAGTAGTTTGGCCACCCAAGCTCAATATTGCAGCCTAGCCTAGGTCTTAGAAATTGAACCCCACACTCAGTACTACAGCTCCATCACCAACTCCAGGAGGAATTTGGTCGATCTTACTGCAGATGTGTTCTTCGCCCAACCATGACTATGTCTATATAAAACAACCTGACTCGCCTACGACTCACCTTTCGCATTGATCATACCGTATTTCCTAATACTGCTATTGATATATATTCCCCCCCTCATTTCCCTTTTTGTTGATCTGATCATGATTAAGTTCTGTTGGATTTATCTATATAAAACACAGGACTTGTGCATTCAACTGACTGATTATGCCAATATATATATATATATGGAGCAATATCTAGCTAGTGATTATAATTAATGTAGAAATTAATTATAAGCACACCTCGCTTCTACTGCATACAATTCATTGCAGGTGTGCCAAAATATGCAGATTTTATTGCAGTACTGCTAGCTAGCTACGATATATATGAGATATAATATTCCATACCTGAATTATCCGAGCCAGCCAAAAGCTCTACAGAAAGAAGATACGAAAAGTGCTCCAAGATCTGGAATCCCCACTTGTTTTTCCACAGTCAATGTGGCCAAACCATGAGAAGATCCTTGTTCATTCGTTGAATACTCCTGTATATGCCATGGAACACGTAAAGGTGAATAGGGAAGATTCGTTAGGTTACTGATAATGCATCGTTCAATTAGCGATATCCCATACCTCCATGGAAACTGCAAAATGATCGGTGTTTGAAAGTCGAAGAGTGCTCACAATCAGGCACTGAATTGCCTCATCTAACCCAGGACTCCATTGCATTGAAGTACTAGCTGCTAAAAAATAAGCATAAAGTGAAGATGCATGGAAGCTAGGATTCCCAACATGCTGCACCATGGGATTTAATGTATTTTATCTTTGTTTTTCTTGCAGGTTATCAAGTTTAAAACTAGTAGAATTAACTGAATATTGCCTTGCAAATAAATTGAAATCAAGCACATAAAATTAGCGCCGGTCGTAACCAGTTCCTTCCTTCAATATCGCTAATCGTGCTTGTGCTGGTTAAGATCCTCACTGTTAATTTAAGAACTAATTTCTAGCTAAACGTGATTGTGTTGTGCTAGTTACAAACAGTAAATTACCTACATGATTTCCTCAGCTTATTCGGAATATTGCAGCAGCCATCAGTACATCCAGTTAACTCCTCAAATGACAAATTAGTGCCGCAACAAATGGTACAAATCCGTCGGCTACCATAAAAAACTATCCTGTTGTGGCAACATAGGGGTGGAAAAACTCCATTCATTCTCTCATGTATATATATCCCATATCTCACAATTTGATATCTTTTCCCATTCATCATAGTTTAGAGTGGAACGCAGCTTCCCCTCAAAAAATTTTGCGGCCAACGGTAAGCCCTTACACTAGCTAGCTTGCTATTCTTACCCAAAAGCTTGCAGATTTGGGTTGCATCAAATTTTTCTTTTCCTAAAACATGATGTGCAGACATTGACTGGCAATCATATTCCGATAATGCCTCTAGATGGTGGTGTGAAAAGCCACCCCCTAATCGATGGGACGCCATCGTTTCTTGTTGTGATAACTATCTTAACTCCACGGGCGGCTGAAAGGGGTCAGCATAGAAGATCCCATCGCTCACTGTCCACCTTGCATACATCGTCTAAGATAATCAAGCGTCTCTTAGCATCAATTGAAGCAAATTCAGATCATCGCTCAACTTACAAGTTTCCAAAGGAATTGCCTGCAGAAGAATTGTTGTTGTTAACAAAACATCAAGAACAAAAACCCCTAGCCTTAAGTCAAAAGACTTCTATATCAACATGACGCAAAATCTGAGCTACGGTGATTTTTCCTACCCCTGCCTTCCTTTGATTGCCTCACAATTCAGTAGCGCAATCCAAGGATCCCTTTTTTTATGCTTTTATCTACCATAAATGCACATCAGCCAAACAAATCGTGGGTTTCGTTGTTGGTGGGAAATACAAGAGAGAAACACTAGAGAAAAGAAGAGAGTGTGTTTAAAGAGTTTTTAATTATTTGTAACCTTCTTGTTGTTGTTGAAATAAAACAGTGTGCTTGTTTTATTCCTGAGTGTTTCAAACCTCATGAATTTATCTCCTCGTCTCTTTCTCGCATCTCGTGATCCTGTACTAATTCCCTGATCTTTCTTGGTATCAACAACAAGGGATCAGTTTTCTTACCTTACTTGTAGTGCCGGCAGATTCACAGGTCATGTTTTGATTAGATGATGAAGCCTTACATCGTGAAGTGCCCCTCCTATGCATCTTCGGTTTGATCAAGCAGTCAGAGGCAACCTTGGTGAAACTGGCAAGATGTCAAGAATGAATGAAGGGTACTGAAACGAGGGAGTATCTTGCTTGTTGAAAATAGTGATAATTAATATGTATTCAAATATGGTGCGCTGATATGAAAGAACAAACATTTACGGAGAGGCCAGCGTGGACCAGTCTCGGTCTCACGGCTCTCACCCTCCCTCTATGTGAATGAATCTACAATGACAATTTTCGAAGAAAGTGAGAGGCAAAAAGAAAGTCTTAAAAGTCTTTTATGAACAATGATTTTGTGTGGTAGGCCTCGTTAGGGACCCTCAATTAAATTGTTTGGATATTTCCTTAGTGGTTAGTATAAACCGACCAAATACATCCATCAAGCTTAGTTATTTGTTTCACTGCAATTATTCTGCTTTGACTTTTCAGCATGTGGAAACTTCCATGCATGAGGTAAGAAACTTCAATCAGTGAGCTGGACTAGCACAATATGTATCGTCGTTGAGAGCTTGCGGGATGCGGTTCGATTGATTTCTGCATCTTCGCCAGATCGAGTCTTGCTTCCAGACTCGGCCGAGTCTGATTGATTGAGGTTGAATTTGGCTTTTAATTAGTTGAAAAGCATCCTGTTGAGATTTTAATATGTCTGCCATTGAATACCTTGAGATTCCTTAACAATCAAGCCACTACACGCAATGCTCATATTAATTCGATATCTATCCCAGCCAATCTTTCTGTATCAATTCTTCCTTCATTTATTCATTATTTGGGAGGTTAATGACCAGGTTCTTTCAAAAACCATAACCAAGGGATTTTTTTTATATATTCTATCAATTATATATTTTCATTAAAACTAGTGATTGTGGTCAAACATATAGTTTCAATAATTAGCAGAGTCTTATGTTAAATAATTATTCATGTATATGCATGACATGTTGTTATCATTTTTAATGAAAATAATTAGCAGGGTTTTATGTTGAATAATAGGAACAAATTAAAAGATACAATTAATTATTTCTTATATATATAAGAATGTGATGGTGCAATCTATGAGGATATGATGATAGATTTCTCTCGATCGTGCATCTCCTTTGAGAGATTGGCTGGATAAACATGCATTCTTAATTATCGTGTTATTAATCTTGTCAGTCCCTGCCACTCATCCTCAAATATCTCACAATTCGATATACGTATCTTCTCCCATTGAGTACAGTGTACACCCCAGATATTTTGCAGCCTGTGGTAAGCCTTTACATTTGCTTGCTATTTGTGCCACTATTGCTTGCTGCTTCAGATCTGCGTCGAACTTCAGTTCTGGCGGTGCATGATCTAAAAACACTGAAAGACAATCGTCATCTGATAACACCTCTAGATGGCGAGTGGAAATGGCAGCCATGATTCGTGGGACGCTGTTGTTTCGCTTGGTGACAACTATTTTAACTTCAGAACCAGCAAAGTGTTGGCGTAGAAGATCCCATTGGTCATAGCCCACATTGCAAGCATCATCTAACACGATTAAACTTCTCTTCCCAGAAAGTCTCTCTCGTAGCTTCACCTGAAGAAAATTCAAATCTCCACTGAGCTTGCAAGCCTCATCCTTGGTATCTTCCTGGAGGATTGTCCCTGTTCTGCTCCGAACATCAAAATCTTCTGAATCAAAAACCCAAGCTCTCAAATCAAAAGCGTTGGCCACTGTGGAATCGTTGTACACAAGCTCGGCTAGAGTGGTCTTGCCAACTCCTTCCTCCCCACCTAGGGCAACCACACAAACCCTACCATTGCTAGCTACTTTTCTATGCAGTAACAATTCAAGAATGAACTCTTTGTCCTTCTTTCTACCATAAACCTTAGATCTATCAAGCAAAGAAGTTGTGGGAGTTCTTTTACCTGCTGATCTATGGTGCCTCTCTCCACAAGCACGCTTTTCCAAATCCCTTGATCTTGAACTAATTTTCTCATACCTGGTATCCATAAAAGGACTTGTATTTAACAAACAACAACAGATCAATTTCCCTACCAAACTTGTGCCTGCAGCTTGGGGCTCTTCGTTCATGCTTTCTTGTGAAGCTTTGAATCGTGAATTCTTTCTCTTGTGAATCTTTCTCTTTTAGTCTTGATTTTTCTAAGCAAGCAGAGGATCGACTAGCTAAAGGCAACTTTGCTGGGACTAGAAAATGAAGGGAATTAGCTGAAGCAGCAGGGATCTGAGGATATGGTAAAAGCACGAGGGTCCAACAAAGATGGAAAAGACTGCAGCAAGAAGATTAAGTATTCAAATGGGTCCTGCTGTTAGGTGATAGACGTTGTTGTTCTATGTTATTTTTGTCTTTATAATTCCATTGATTGGGGAAAAAAGTACTATCCAAAAGGACTTAGATAATAATAATAAAAAATAAAATTATTGCACTTAATTTGTAATGTAAACTTTAATTAGATTACGTGTTAATTGGATTTTGTTTTTTTGGAATATCTTAAAAGCATACATTTTATATCTCCTTAATCACATAATTAACCCTTTAAAATTTAATATAACATGATAATTCTAACTTTTAGTTTGTAACTCCAAAAAAGTAAATATTAGAATATAGTAAAATATTCTAAATATAGTGTTCTTAAAAAAAATATTCAGTATCATATTTCAATCTTTATATTATTTAAGAATATTTTACCAAAATTTCAGCAAAAAATTCATTTATTATGAATCATTTTCACTTTATGAATTCCAGAATGTGTATGTCATAATCTCAACACTCTTCAAAATTAGACCTTAATTAATTATATTTTCACTTAAAAATAAAATTAATCTATAATTTCAAATTCTTCATTTCAAAATTCACATTCAATTGTAGCATGCATTATTTACAATAAGTGACAAGAAAAAAATATAAAAACATTATGAACTAATTACATACAATATTCATTTAATAAATCTAAGGTATGTTTGATGTCATATTACAAACCTAATAAAAGAATATTGATAATTAGTATTGGCTTCATTTATATGTAATTTGATCATTGTCACCTAAACAAAAACAAATGTTATGTAAGATCTACTATTATGTCCTAATCTATGATAAACTTGAAAAATAAAATTATTCTTAAAAAATAAAAACATATTATAAAAAATACTTACTAAACAAACACACACACACATCAATGATATAAATATACCTAAATTTTACTAATGTTTTGTATAAACATCAATCTATGATAGATTCCACTTTAATATAGTTTCATCTATTTTTTTTTATGAACTTCTATTCTATCATTGTTCTCATTTAACTGTCATTATCACATCATGAAAGCTCTTATTCACAACATGTTTGATTCATATTACAAATCATTTCCTCAAAACTCTTTTATTTCATACAATTATATATGTATATTCCACGATTATATTTTATTCACATCATTCATTCAATTCATATTTCATTTAAATTTAACATATATCTTATAATCATATTTGGTTCACACCATTGTTTCAATTTATAATACTTTTAAATTATGTCATAATTCATTTTGTAGCATACTTATCACCTTTTGGTTTTTTGAATATTCAAATTATTTTGATCAAATACATGTGTTCTCTTAACACGTGATTTGCCTTTAAAAGTTTCTTGCATGATTAATTGCTTAGTTTGATCTCTCAAAATCTATATTTATCATTACCTCGTCTCATTTTCTTTTTTTATATGACCCATGTTATTATCTTTTACACTATTTTGACTCATTTTCAAAACATCTAAGGCTACCATTTTACTTCGACTTATAATTTTCAATAGAAGCCTTCCTGATTAATGAAATGTTCTTTGGGCTTCTTTTATACAAACCCTATCAAATTCCATTCAACCATTTTACTTTGACTTATGGTCTCTAATAGAAACCTTCCCAATTAATGAAATTTCATGTGAGCTTTTTTTATACAAACCCTATCCAAATTTCATCTAACCATTTATAACATAAAACTTGTCATGGATTCTGATATTATCATCACAAAAGCAACTTCGTGTAACAACCTAAACTTTTAAAACATGTTTTCAACAACTCGTTAGACATGGATCATTAAAGTCCCTGGAATATTATTGTTTGGCTATTGATAATTTGGCTTCTTCCAACATTTCATTACCAATTTGATGAGTCGTTAACACATATATTATTTGTTAACCATAAGACCATTACTCAAATTATGCATATCCTAGTCATTAATACAACTAACACCACTAGGTCCATTATAGATAGTTAATTTATTTTTTCAATCAATTTTATGTTCTTATTAAACCATCTTGTATCAACCGAACTAATGTTACTACCCATTACTGGGTAACTAGTTTTATACATATTAATATCCAAGTATAAACATACTACATTATAGACACTTTATCATTTCAAGTTGAACTATAGTTTATCACAACAATCATTCAAAATCCCTCCTCCATCATTCTCTAGTTTGGTCGAATATCCTCCATAGTATAACCATGATCGTCACTTCAGCTTTTAACATGGATTCCATCCCAAAACAACTAAAACATATCAAACCAATCAATAAAACCCAAACCCTTCAAGTACTTATTTTTTGCCTAATGACACCATGGATCAAAGCCCTAGATTTTCCTTTAACTTTTCCTATAATTTCACATTATCCACTCTGAGATATATACAAAAACACATTTTTATCAAAGTTTAACAATAACAATTCATCATTCAATTAAACTCAAGCTTAAACACATATCCATTTTATACCTATAACCAAAACCAACTAAGAATTGCATATGAATGAAGGTGAGGGCTTGTTACCATTTTAGACACTATTTCCATGGAGTTTGATGCAAAAGAACCTAAACTCTTCTTTCTTCTCTTCAAGATTTCTCACTTTCTCTCTCTACATAGTCATTTTCTTTTCTTGGTTTGTCACTCCAAATCTCATTTATATCATGTTTCTTTTTCAAGAGAATGATTAATCCTCTTAAGAATCTCTCAATTAAACAAGAAAACATTTAAAAATTAATAAAGGATGAAGGGCTTTTCGTTCTCCCTAACTTCTAGAATCTTCACCAGCCTTTTCTTATTTATAAAGAGAAATTTTGCTTACTTTACCATTTTACCCCTCATAATATTTTTCTTGTGTTTATGGGCAACACAATTGGTTGCCAACTTAATTGTAAGGCCCTAAACTTCTATTATTCTGAAATGTTAACCCAATATAGGAACATATATCAGGAGAGTCCTTATAAATTTTCAACTCGATCTAACAGTTGGATTGAGAGTTATACTTGATAACATAAAACTAAACAGTATTGAAATTTACAGCCCAAATTCTGATTTCAAACCCACCTTCAAACACATCGTTCTCTCTCAACCATGTGAATTACAGAGCCTACCATATATTGTTGGAAAGGTATAGGTGTCTACTTTCCAAAATAACTAGAACAAAAATAAAAATTAATGTTGATATATATACGAAAGAGTAGCCATAGGTCTAGTGTGATATATTTGCTCCTTTTTAATATGAGCCTCTAAACTTAGCCCCTTGAGCTTTTTCTTTAATCTTCTTCCATTTAGACCTTATACTAGGCTCAATTGAAAGTGTAAATGGGAAAATTTCATCTTTTTTTTTCATCATTTATTTCATGTATTGATTTTTAATCGAGATTTACACCAGCACATTTTTGTGCAATTCTCTTCTTAACTTTTTTTTTTATTCCCCTTATAATTGCTTGAAATTATTTTCTCATTCTCAAAACACATTTATTTTAAAAGTGTGGAGCTCGTTTAGGAGGTGGAACTCGTCTGGTAGGTGGAGCTTACCTAGTAGGTGGAGCTTGCCTTTTGTGTATCATTAAAGCCCTACAAGTCCTGGTGACACATTTTAACATGTACAAATTGCTATAAAAATCATAGGCATAACTTTGCAAGAGCGTGGTCATGAGTGTAGTCATAGACATAGCCGTGAAGCATGGTCGTGGAGGTTGCCGCTAGCATAACTGCAAGCATAACTATTGGCTTAACAGTTGGCGCAGCCATAGACATAGCCACTGACATAGCTACCATTATGCTGGGGCTTCGTCAGCCATGAAAAGAGCTTTTGAGAAACAAGAATGAATTGGCTTTTTGTTCAAATTCCCACAAATGACAGAAATGATGAAATTCTAAAAAATCCAAGTAGTTTGGAATCAAGGCTTATATGTTGCACAATCGGTTAATCTCTTTGTTATAGCAATTTGACACATTCTTCCTAACCGATATGGTTGTTAACTTGTATTTAATGTCTGGTAAGTCAAGGTGACCAGTAACTAGTACATGCAAAATATCCCCTTTTATAGATTTGAAGGCTCTTGAATGTTTAGATGTTTAAGTAAATAGTTTTTTAAAGAGAAAAAATACAATGATATTTTAGAGAGATATCATTGCTAAAAATATTGATAATAAATAGAGTATGAACCTGAAGTTTAAATGATGCAAAAAAAAAAATTATGAAAAAAATGAGATACCTCAAATAAAACTAAAATAAATAATAAATCTTAGAAAAAAAGATTATTCTATTGTAACAAAGACGTCTAATATCCTAATTATTCGAGGAGTGAACAGTATTGGAGGACAAGGATGTTAGGAATCTTAAATTATTTATATATGGTGATTAGAAGCTCCTTTATGTACTCTCCCTTTCAATTGTAAGGATGGCAGCAAGTTGTGTCAGATATATTTCATTTTGGTCATTATTGAGTCAATATTTTGTCCTCACACAGGACCTAGTAAAGTTGAAATCAAAAATTTATATGTTTATCACCATGTATTATTGACATTATTCAAAAATTAACGTATGAATCATAAAAATAATTAATTGAATAGCCTAAACTAGTTTCTGGGAACAAAATAAAAATTATTATATGATCAGTAACAATGATTACATAAAGTGAAATATAAAAAAATTTATGAAAAATTTTAAAAACTTACAACTCGCTAATTTTTTTACATTTTTTTTTTAGGAGTATGGTAAGAGATATTTTTTAAAGTTTTTTTTGTTTAGAAATATATCAAAATAATATTTTTTATTTAAAAAAATTATTTTTAATATCAATACATTATAATAATCTAAAAACATAAGAAACATTAATTTAAAATAACAAAAATATTTTTTTAAAAAAAATATTTTTAAAACAAAAAATAAATAGAGTGTATGTGCATACCTTTTCAGGGGTGTTTTGTACATATGCTTTTTGAAAGTGGGAAGGAAAACAATTTTGCCACTTGAAAAAAAAAAAAAAAAAAAACAGCATACCATGTACTCCATCTTTATTAATATATGTTTCAAACTAGCAAACAAAAGAACAAAATAACAAACGTCTAGCCACATATGCAGTGAACCAAAAAATATAAGGGTTCTGATTTCAATGGTCAAAATTGGTCACATAGGGATCTAGTTGGAAATAGTTTTATTAAAAGGAATTTTTAAGGAATGAAAGGATCGCAAATTCCAAATAAGGACCAATTTGTAAAAATAGTAAAATATATAAACTGTAATAACTTTATTCAATATTATAAGAAGGATCTAACACTTTTATGCGTGCACGCAAAACTTAACGAAGAATTTCCTGAACTTTTCCATTCTTATGTGATTCTGCTGAAACATTTCGAAAAAAGCAACAACCTTGGTAATTGTGATTCTATGGGCTTGATATGGTTCAAGTTTTTTATACTACCTTGCCTTTGATGTGTTTGTTTGACAAAGCAGAGCATAAATTATTTGGATTATTTTTAAAATTATTACAGTAAATTAAATACTTTTACAGAATGATATCATCTGAAAAAAATTTGATTAAATAGTGTCTTTTCATTTAATATTACTTCTGAAAATAATATTTATTAAATTTTATTATTTTTAAGAGAGACAAGATAATTGTGATGTTTCATAATAATAATAATAATTAAACATGTTATATTTATAACATTTTTCAAGTGTGACAACTTAACATTAACAGTAAATTCTTTGGTTCAATTAGTCAGCTAATTGATCTAAGTGTTTTGTACAAAAATTATAATTTTATTTTTCTTTTAATATATACTTTTTAACTAAAAAACAAACTCCAATTAAAATTTAAAAATTTATTGTTTACACAATAGTTAGTCTTTTTTTTTTTCAATATCAAACTTATAATAATGAGTCATTTTAAACAGTTAGTTATGGGTCTACCACAATTAAATAAAGATTTAATCTAAAAAAATTATATTGATAATCTAGTAGATGGATTTATCAATTAGTAGGACAGGTCTAATCTTAAAAGATGATCTAGTTCATTTTTCCATCAGCACCTTAAATGCTGACAAAATTGTCGAACATAGATTTCGTCATAAATGTCCAAACCTTAAGTAACTTTTCAACGAGATTTGTGCAAGCTCTGTAACAAAAATCAAAATCAAAAACAAATCACCATAACATCCAAAATTTATAATGAAGATTTCACATATCTTGAACTAGAAGGCTCGTGAGGGGAACGCAATGGTAAAGCTATACAGCCACCTAATTGCTCTCAATACAGATGTTTCTCAACCTTTTTTAGGACTAACTCATCAATGCTCGATGATGTCAAGCTTGGCAAGGAAAGTGGTGTATCCAAAACAGTACAACTTGCTCTCATTTCTTGGATTGATGTTATAGAAATATCATAAAAATAATTTCTATCAGGTCCATAAATTGCACCAGCCTACAATTAACAATAATAAGGATAAGCAGAAGTGTCTTCACCAAATTTCTCAATCATGTGGATGTATCACACAAAACAAATACAAACAAAAAACTTAAAATCCTAAATTCATATGATAACTATATAAAAATAAAAAATAAAAACTCTTACAACAAACATTTTCGTTCTTTTATCGATATTTTTTTTCTTCTTGTTTCCTTTATCTCCCTTCTTTTTGAGTTTCCTCATATACTTTATTGGAGTCAGTTCACTTCCAAGATGTTTTTCCCGCAAATTAAATAGTTTGTTTTAACAATGTCACAAATAAATACTTAATTAACACCATAAGAAAAATAATAAAATATATATAATAACAAGCTCATACTAAAAGCTTTGCATGGTTTACAAATGAAAGCGCTCCTTCAATATGCTTGCTCATCGAATCATAAATTTCTTTATTTTGATTTTGAGCCCTAGATCATGAATGCTTTTTAAAAACTTTTAACACTACAGTCTTAAAACAATACCCAATTACACTTTGTGACGTGCCTTGATCTATAGTTTTCTCACATTGTTACATCATCAGGGTTGGCTCTATTAATTGCTTGTTTGTGGAAATCATACCACAAATCACATAACCTGATATGAAAATTTGTTAAACAAAAATAAGATAAGGAAATTATGAGAAAAATATAAATTTACAATAATATAATATTTTTTATATAATACTTACCTAGTTACACTGTGCTTTTCTCATATTTTCTTGACCATCATCTCATTGCTATCATCCGAGAAAAATTTTTCCTTGTATTAAAATTATATATTAATTAATTTTTAAAATTTAAAAAACTATCAACTCAAATTAAAGATTATTATCTAACCTTAAACTTTCTCCACCAAGCTGCTACCATACTCATATAGCTGACTCCATTGAAATAATAGTTCTTCGAATGATAACTTCATCATAGATCAACTCCATTGAAATAATAGTTCTTCGAATGATAACTTCATCATAGATGTGATCGAATAGACAACCTTATTATTGGTAAACCTGAAAATCAATTCATCAAAACCATTTTAATTTAATGTAAAACTTAAAAAATACAAATACAAATAAATAACTTCAGTATTTAAAAGAAAAAAAACATTAATTACATAGTGAGGTCATCCTTCCATTCTACAGTAATTTTACCCAATAAAATGTCTCTGGTAAAGGGAATTCCAACTCTGCTGTCCACATTGTTCGAGCCTTGGTCAGTAACTTCCGCGGTAGATGCCTCTTCATGTGTCTCTTCATGATTGTCACTTGAATTAACAACACGATCACCAATGTTATTGCTTTGACACTGCTACTTGACAAAGCAGTAGCGATGTTGTTGGACTTGGGCATGTTTCTTCTTTGATACATGGTATCTAAAAGGAAACAATTAACACAATTACAAGAGAACTCTTACCTTAGTTTTTGGAACAATCCACCAATTCAATTGGCCCTGCACAGATTCAGTCACTTTTAAGTTCAAGACTTTTAGGCAAAACAAATATGCACATATCATTCAAATTTTACAATTCATATTCTATTGTAATAGTATAGCTCCATATACATCGAACCCAATAGGTATAGTTTAAAAATTGTGTAACAAAAAGGGAAGCCCTTGCAAAGAAGAAATGTTGAGCAACTCTTTCATATCTCTTTGTTCTCCAAAACCTATTAGAAGAGTGTGTGGAACTCAAAGAATTTGGTAGTTAACGTAATTGTTGATTTTGGTTTTCCATATGTTACCACTTACAAGGGAATGCTAGATTTTTGCAAGCAGCTTTTGTTACCTCTCAAGTACTTTAAACTACTTTTAAAACAACTACCTTTAAGATTAAAAAAATGCAAGAATTCTATAACACAAACAAAACTTATTCCTAGAAGCACATAATGCATAACCAACCAAGTACAAAACCAATTACGGAAGAAACCACTTATTGTACTCAAACCCACATACTGTTCAATGTTTATCCAGTTATCAATTCGTTTCTGAAACCAAAAACCATAAACCACAGACTACTCAAATATATGTCAGATAAACAAACATAGCTAGAGTGAACAACATAATCAACTGCCAAACCAATCTCCAAAGAAAGAAGTGAATGCTTCAATGGCAAACTCATAAGAGCACAAACTACATTACAGGTCATTGCTACATAATAGATGAGTTTGATGTCGTTCTTTTTGCCTAACATTTCTTTTTCGACGCAAGAGGTTCCCTAACTTCAACCGGCCCAAATAAGATAAAAGAATCTTTTTTGCAATAAGAAAAAACCTAACAAGAAGAAACAATATCAAGAGAAAAAGACTCAGTCAGTACGCAACACTCTGTTTGCCCTAAACATTCCAAAGAAGGCAGAATAATACCACTTGAACCATATACCTCACTTGTTCAAAACACACTACTCGTACATAATACAACACAAGCAATTTTTACAATCTAGTAGCCAAGTACGACAACAATTATTCATCAAACTAACCAACAAAATGGAAACTTGCAAAGTAATCGATTCAATCTTGGCATACAAATTTCAAGTAAAACTATCCAAATCATTTACAATGTTGCATGCAATTAACTATGAACTCAACCCTCATTTCCATATACAATCTAACCCCTTTTTCCACCAAATAAAAGCATACACACTACATAATACATTAGCTATAAAATGGTATCTCTGATTGCATCTATCAGTCAAGTTTCTTGCAGGAAATGTTCAAATTGGAATATGCATAAACACAAATAAGCATTCAACAAAAGTAACAGGAATTACAAGTCAAAGAACAAAACATTGAAAAGAGAATTGGAAGCTAACCAAATCAGAAAAGAAACATGAACCTACCTAGCAACACCCAAATGGAATGGGAATGGTGGGAAGAGAGAAGAACCGATTGAATGTTAAATCAAAAAAATAAATCTCCACACCTAGCCTCTGCAACAACTTCCTCGGATGGAAGACACTAGGATAATGAAATCTCCGAAGCACCCAAAACCCAAAGGCCTGCATTTAAAAAAAGCAAACATCAAAGAGAAAGACACCAAGAAACCCGAGAAACAACAGCAGAGAAAAGAGCACCAAAACGAGAACCAAAGGTGCCACCACAAATGACAGGGAAGGAGAGAGATCGAGTGAAATTAGGGCAGGAAATTTGGGGGAAATGCGAAAATTAGGAATTTCAATTGAGAGAAGAAGAAATGGGGGAGAGGACTGTCAGGTGTAATTTCATTATAAAATCACCAACAGAATTTTCATCAGCTATTTACTGGCACTATAACATGTCATCAATGCTACCATGCTGATGAAATTGCCACTATAATTTTTTTATTTTTTTAATTATGTCACCATTTTCATTAGCAATTGCCAACAAAAATGTTCCGTCGCTGTTTTCACCAGCATTTTTGTTGCTATTTGTCAATTTTCTAGTAATGTTTAATGGATGTAAAACAAGAAAAAATGATTGGACAATTCAAGTTCCAACTGACCTTCTGAATCTTAAGTAGTGTTTTCAACAAGTCGAGAAGCATTAAGAGAATGAATAAAATGGATCATCACTGTTATGACACGGTCATGCAGTTAGATTTCCCTTTATTGTACTTGTCAAACTTGTATCTCCTTGGCATTGTCTGGATTTACAGGCAAGCAAAATATAATTGACAAGTTCTGCACAGTTCTCTAGCACAGCTATATTCTCAGCGTCCTCATCAGTCATACCCCAAGCAACTATATAAATATGTCCCATCTAATGGGTAGAAGACCATGGTGTCCCCATGTTTCCCTTACACCGTCTTCCTGCAATGACTCAATCATACGGTGTAAAGAATTCCATATTTTATTAAAAAGTTCATGTAAGGCTCCAAACCTTTTGAAATTAATCTCTTGTCCGTGTAGCTTGCTTAAGGAAATTGCCTTATTCCAACTTGATATGCTCCTAGTTCATTGACAACAGCTTAAACTACTTCAAAAGCAATCGGCAGCATCTCCTCACATCCACCATATTGGACTATCTCACAATTCACTTCATCTTTTGTAAAGCTAGCAATTGGGCAGGAAGGAGACCCATGGATTTCAACTTCCACCGGAACCCTACAAATAATAACAGGAAATGATCAAAAGGGTACAAGCTGCTTTGATAATTTACCTCTGAAAAAGGTGCAAGACTTGTTTAAAAAACCAGTAATCACTTCTAACACTTCAACAGTCAAAAGACAATGATTGTTTCATTCCCATAAAACCTTGGTGGATTAACTCCCATCTAGAATTATAATCAGACCACAAAAGAAACAAAGTTACCAATAGACACCTATTACTATTTCTAAGAGGATCTAGAAAATGCAAGAAACAAGTTTCCATTTACCTGTCAATAGCAACATGGACCCCTAGTAAAACCTCTGAGGTGATCTGGGTGATGGATACACCATTTTCCTCATTTAAGTAGTTGAGCCTTCATTAAAAAAAAAAATGTGATAATGTCTTAGAATGATCTTTAACCACTTCTCCACTGCGGTAATAAATGAAAAGGTTCGTTTCTTCCATTTCAGTAATTCAAGGATACATCAATTTTCATACAAGAGAGAACCAATATGAAGTGCAGAGGGTGCAAACAATCAACTGATCAAACAAAAGAAAATAAACGGCAGAAATTCTCAAATTGAAAGGATTAAACGTGGAAGGAAAAAAAGAATTGAACAGAAAAACATAGGAGAGGGAGTGCCAGGAACAGAAATGCCTCCACTTCTACAATTATAGGAATGGTCAAAAGGGAATCATGCGTGCAGGTTTTCCTGTGCAGTAACCCTAGTGCTCAAGGACCACATTTAACAATAAAGAAAAGGTATATATATATATTGCCAAACAAACAATTGAAAATCATTAAATGAAAACAAAACTTATGAAAGAAAAAATTCGTATTTTGCAAGATTAATGCACTTCTCTTTCGCACAAGGGTTTGTAAGCAGTCTTGTTGAAATATAGTTCTACATGTTCAGTGATCAATAACATGCATATATCTCAATAAAGTGTGGGACTATAACAGTAGCAGCAGTTATGACCCCATATCATGCGCGTTGGTGCGAGCGGCTAAGTGTTCCTCAATTGGAAGTCCAATCACCAAGCAAAAGGTTCTCAAATGTCCTACCACTAAAAATTCAAAAAGAACAATAAGTAATTGCCTCTATGCCTTGAGCCTGCACTCCTAATAAACAAATTTTCCATTGATCCAATTTCTTGATTTTTATCTTCAATTGTTGGGAACTAATAAAGTTCTTATGCTAAACTCTAATTAATGAACCTACAAGTACCTTCAAATTGTATTGGATTAAATTCAGGTATCGTAGACATTCCCCATTTCCATCCCCAATCATTTTTAATTTCCCATTTATTGAAAAAGAAATCCCATTATTGGTTCGTTTTTCATCCAATTATATGGATCAACAATCAACACTGATGAAATTGACATTTTGTTTATAGAATAATATAACAATTTTATCTAATTCCATTCAGGACTATGGAATGTCTGAAACAAGGAATAAAGAGAATTTTAATTTTCTACTCAGATTGGAATTTGCAATGGATACAACTAGAAAAGAATTGAGAAATTCTACTTAACTTAGACTTATGAAATTTTATATAAAATAACAAAAAATGATTCAATTTCTACTATTATTTATGAGATTACATATTCCAATACAATTAGATACCTGTGAAATAAATAATTAGGGATTTGATCTTTTCAATGAGACAACAACCCAATAGTCAAAAACAATATAAAGTTGTTTTTTTAGCTCTTTCTACTTGATAAAATAGACATTAACTTGAAATTGCATAAGATAAGAAAGTGTAGAAAAAAGCTTCAGAAGTACCTGGCGCTAGGTATTTGCTTATTATAGATAGGGTAGGCATAGGGGATCAAATTATCATACTCACTCTTATTAGAGAGTATTTGACACATTATTTATCATCTGAGAGAAAACACTACAATTATATGCAAATGATGAAGAGAACGTGGGTTGCACATCGTGGTTGATTGGCTTCTTGATGAATATTTGTTGACGGATAAATTAACAATCTATATGGAGATACATAATATGTGTTATCTTAAACAACTTGTCTGACTTGATTGCCTTGATGAATAGCATGATTTTAGTTAGTTATTTCACCACTACAGATTGCGAGATGCCATAAGAAATGAAATATGGTGTATGAGCATGTAAGAGGTTGACTTTGACAAGACAACAATTGCACAAACCACTTGGCCAACTTTGAAGTCAGAGAACGAAGAATGGTACCTGATTCTCTTGTTCACTTTCAATCAGCAGAAACTAGTAACAATCTGCAGGTTCTACCACCATCATGGTTACTGGATTGCAAAATTCTATCCGGACTTCATTTATAGAAAACAAACATCCTGTGTTACATAGGGAATGAAGGCAATCATGGACCTATAGCGTCCATTCTTTCTTGAGCATTGTTTTTTCAGAAGGGGGCAAAATTCAATATGCAGGGACCCAAGCGTAGCAGGGAAGCATTCCTTAGGCAAGAAACAGAGTTTAGGGCAGTCTGAAATCATTAAAATTTCAAGAGACGTGAGACGTTTGAGGCCCTTTGATATGGACTTCAGACCCTTGAGACTCAAGATGTAAAGAGAGGTTAGTGAAGTGGGAAGAAGTTGACCCTCATCATCGGGAAAGGAAACCATATTTGTACAAGGACTTGTGCATTCAATTACAAGTCGTTTAAGAAAGATGAGTGTGTAGAGTCCCCAGTCTAACATTGACTCTGTGACATTCTCACAATAATGGATCTCAAATTCAATTAAGTTTGGAGGCAAACCCCCTTTTGAAAAAGAAACAAGATTGTGACAATGATATACACTCAACTCTTGAAGAGAAACTAGGCAGTCCATATGATCGGGTAGAGACCTCAAATTCTCACATTTCCATATGCTTAAAGAAATAAGATTTGGAGTGATCAATCCCATATCTGGGAATGATTCTAACATAGAACACCCACTTATTTCCAGCTCAGTGAGATGGGATAGGTCACATAAGGACTCTAATAACTGCATTGTGCAATAGCCAATTTCAAGCGTCTTAAGAGACCCAGGAAATTCAAAAGCTGGGAAGGGCAAGAGAGGTAGACCTTCTATGGTCAAATGCTCAAGACGAGACAACTCCCTTCTATCACTGCCATCATGCACAATTCCCCCATGTAGATTCTCGAGATTTTTGCACCATGAAATTGCCAATGACTTCAGTGTGATGGGCAACATTCCTCTTGGAATGGACACAAGAGATGGACACCAACTAATTAGCAACTCTTCAAGAAGGCACTGGCTGCTCTTACAGCCATTCATCGTTATCACCATCCCATCAGGCAATGACTTCAGCGAATCACACCGTGAAATCTCAAGACGTTGGAGAGTGTATGGCAAACCTCCTGGAAAGGACACTAGTTTTGGGCAATGATCAACTTTCAAATTTCTGAGTGAACCAAGGAACTGCAACCCACTTGGCAGCTGTTCCATGTCACCAAATTTCTCAAGCTCAACTAATGACACAGGCTGCTCGAACTTCTTGATCTCTAAATGCTTCATACTTGCAAGTTCATGTAAATCAGTTCCATCTTGCCACAGGTACATCAAATCATTGCAGTTTTCAATTTCCAGATCTTGAAGTGCCACCAAGGCTTGTAAAAAATCACCAGGTAAATAAACAAGGCCAGAGATGCTCCCAACTTTTAAAGTAGTAAGGGAGGGCATAAAAGACATATGGTTTAGAATTGCCTCGTTACACCCTTCAACAATCAATTCACAAAGACATGGAAGTATTTCAGGTAAGGCTACTAACTGCGGGCAATTGCAAATAGAAAGTTTTTTCACAGATGGAAGGTGACCTGGCAACTTCCCAGCCAACATGGGACAATTTATTATTGTAAGCTCACGTAGATAAGGAAATTCTCCTACTTCCTCTTGGTTGAGTCCATTAGACCAGGACCATTGCTTCCAATTCAACATATCCTCAATTATTAGACCCTCTAGAGATGGAAAAGCCTTGACAGAAGAACCAAACCCCAAAAACTCAGCACCAACTGTCGTTACCTTATCCATGCCTTTTATGCTCAAATGTCTAAGTAAAGGTAGTTGTCCTAGTGATGGTAATGATGTGATTTTATGGCATCCACGAAGTTGTAGGCACACCATATTAGTGAATGAGTGATCCCCTAACCATGATGGGAATGTTGTGCCACCATATGACATAATTGAAAGCTTTTGTAGAGTTTGATGAGGTTCTAGAAGGTTGAGGAGCCGCAATTCCCTAGCTTCACTTTGAAAACCATTGACATTATGAATCCATTCCAAGGATAATTCACTAAGGCCCCTCTTCTGCTTTAGAATGGCAAGCTCCGTGTCTTGAACATCCACCACATTATGTAGCCCTGTGATATTAAGTTGTCCTTGAAGATGGGAAAGTTTCATCAACTCTCTTATCCCGAGCCCTTTTCCCATGATAAACTTTGGCAAGGTATGGAGGTTTGTCAAATTACCTATCTGAGGTGGCATCTCTTGCAAACTATCTGTCCCGCTAATGTCAAGGTACTGCAAGTCAATTAGATTGTCAATGCCTATAGGTAACTTAATAAGTTTCTTGCAACCCCTCAATCCCAGCGTCTGCAGCCGAAATACTTCACATAGTGATTCAGGTAACACTTCAATTTCAGTATAAGACAAGTTAAGGTACCGTAAATGCTTTAATGCACAAATAGAACTTGGCAGCTCTACTAAACAATAACCAGCTAGAGATAGCACAACCAAACGTTTTAAGTTTGGAACCAAGTCATGCAACACCTTACTGGTCAAGTGGTTATATGGTGGTGAAAAAATTGGCAATGGTAAGAAAGTTCGTAAACTCTTCATCTCATAAAAGACTTCAAACCTTTGGGAGATGTCATAACGGTGACGAGTGAATGATGAATGGCGAACCTTTGCATGCGATGGTGAATCCTCAAGCTTATCACCCAAATGAAAGCATGCTTCTCCGCTAACAAACCGAGCTAGTTCACTTATTAGGTCATGCATAACATACCGGACATTGTTGACACTGGACTGCTGAAAGAAGGATCTTGATAACAAATCATGAAAGTATTCCTTGCCTATGTCTTTCATCTGTTTCTTTTCCTTTGGTTGCTGCAGAAAACCCTCTGCCATCCACAACGAAACCAATTCATTCTTGTCAAATTCGTAGTCCTTTGGAAAAATTGCACAATATGCAAAGCACTGCTTTAAATGAGAAGGAAGGTGATGGTAGCTCAATCTCAGAGCTGCAAGGATCCCACTATTCTCTTCTGGTAAATCCCACATTTTGCTATTCAATACAACCTTCCACTCTTTAGAATTCCGTTTACCACGCAGGAGGCCTCCAAGTGTCTTTGCTGCCAAAGGTAATCCCTTGCACCTTTTAACTATCTCTTCGCCTATTTCTTTCAAATCTGGATAATCATCAAAATTACTTGCATCTAAAGCATGTTTGGCAAATAGCAACAGACAATCATCATCCGACAGCTCCTTCAGTGCATAAGCATAAATTGAACCCGTCAGTAATGAGACTCCTTCGTTGCGAGTGGTGATAATAACTTTGCTTCCTCGTGCCCCGCTGGCAAATGGGCTACATAGAGCAGTCCATTCCTCGTAGTTCTCACTCCAAACATCATCTAAAACAATCAAAAACTTCTTGCCATACAGCTTCTCCTTCAGCTGCACTTGAAGCAAATTTAAATCACATCCCGCAGCAGAACTATCAAAATTTAAAATTGTTTTGGTTATCCTAAGCACATCAAAATCATCAGAAACACAAGCCCATGCTTTATAATCAAACTCCACACTCTCGTCATTATACACTAGCTGCACAAGAGTTGTTTTGCCGACACCTCCAAAACCAATAATCGAAATCACAGAGAACGGCGACCCATTTGCTGCTTCACCACCTCTCATCAACAATTCAACCAGAACCTCCTTGTCCTTTCCCCTCCCGTAGACACGTAGTTTTTCTTCCATCAACGACGTTGCGGTCAGTCTTTCATTGAATCTACTCAAACTACAGTCGCTCAAGTCCAAGAGATCCTTTTCTGCAACAATCTCTTGCAATCTCGAAGTGATCTCCTCTAGCTTGGACCACCCCATCTTGCCAATACCAGCAGACAAACAAGTTGGGACCAGATTCTTGCCTAATTTACTCTTCCTCCTCTTGTAGCTGTAAGTTTGAGACCAGGCTTCATTTTCAAACTCTTCCAAGACATCCTGGACATCATATGCCAAATCTCGGAGCTTGTTAAGCCATAATTTGACGGCCTGGTTAGTTATTTGTTTCTCTTCGGCATCAGTCAGAACCGCGCGAATCTCCAACAACCTTAATTCCCATTTCTTAAGTTCACTGTCGATTTCCTTTTCCTTTTTGCTAGCAAATTTAAGAAAACTAGCAGAAGCCAACTTTTCGAACAAAGGCTGAAGAATAGCAGAGGTAATAGCTTCTACAACATCCATCTTTATTTCTTCTTTTTGTTGAATCAGTCTGCAAATAAAATTCAAATTTTGAAGTAATTAGAATACTTAGGGCGTTGAGAAATAAAATTTAAAAAAAAATGAAGGGACGAGACAACTAGTTCTCGGCATTTTTTCATCAGTAAAGCAAGATAAAAAAAAAAAATCAAATTTCCTTGATTCCCTCCTCCTCCTCCTTGTTCTGTAAATAAATTGCCGACTTGTTTGATAATCTATCCGCTAGATCGAATTCCCCAAAGGTAATGAAGAGGCAGGGTATTTCAACCAAAAAATCGAATTCCCCAAAGGTAATGAAGAGGCAAGGTATTTCAGCCAAAAAAGAAACAATATATATATATATGTGTGTGATTTTTTTATTTTAAATTAATTTTTTAACTATTTTTAAGATTTTTTTAATATTTTAATATGAAAAATAAACTTTAAAAAATAAATAAATATTATTTTAATATATTTATAAATATATATATATACTTGAAAGGATGAGGATGGGCCGCCGCAGAAGAAATGGAGTTTCTTTTAGCCCATTTTATTCAGCAATTGAAACTTGAAACTTCATTCTGCTGGCTAAATAATTATCCCTTTTTATCACTTCTTTTCTTTTCTTTTTTGTCACTTTGCTGCTATTGATATTTCTTTTATCTTATATTACAAGAATAATATTATATTATCATTAAGTAGAAAACTAAAATGCGTAGTTTTTCCTATAGTTAGAGCATTGTTTATACACTTATAAAACATCATGGATCCTGTTTGTTTTGTAGCAATTTATTTTAGTTATCAATGTTTAATTTTTGATGATTTAATTCTAATTCAAAACTGGTCAATAATAAAATTTCAAGAAGAGATACCAAAATAAATAAATAAAAACATTGAGTATGAATTGCGTGTTATAGATTTCAAAAAAAATACACTTAGATCTTCAAACTTTTAAAATAATATAAATTATATAATTTACCATCCTTTAAATTTTTAAAAAAATTATTTTAATATAAAAATTTATTTTTATTATTTTTTAATTACTAATTAGAAAGAGGTTGACAAATTCCAATAATAAAAGAGAAAGTTATCATTCAAGTCATTTCCAATCACTAAAATAAAATATTTTTGTATTCACAATTTTTATATGATAAAAAAATTTTGATGGTGATTGTTTGGTGTTTCAATGTTTTTTTAAAAAATAGATTTAGACTAAAAAAAATAAATTTAAATAGATTTGATTTCAGATTTTTGAATTTTTTTAAGTATTTTAAGTTTATAAATTGATTTATGGTTATTTCAACGATGCTAGTAAGGCATTTTAAGATTTAAATAACTTAGAATTTAAGTTTTTTTGACATAAAAAATATTGTTTTGACTTTTTAGCCACCACAGTATAGGCGGAAAACTAAGTTTATCATTTACGTATTTATTTTTAAAAGAAAGTTGTTCACAACTTTAAATAAATAAATAAAAGAATCATGCCCATGCAAGCTAGTTAGCGCTTGAAGGTCCACTCATGCATCCAGACTCTTTTTCAGTTTTTTTTTATATATATATAAATATATATAAAGATTAAGTATAAATTTAAAAGAGAGAAAAATATTTAACTCTTATTTTTATTTTTTATTGATATTTTTTTTATAAATAATTTTTAAAATTTATATTTTAATTAATATAACTCATCTGCGATTTTTTTATTTAATTATTTTAATAGAGATTCTTATAAAATTATTTTGTGTGTTTAATTCTTATAGTGATTTTTCTAATTTTTCTATAATTTTTTTCATCTTTTGTTTGGATGAATTTTATTTTTAAAAATAAAAAAAAATTCAAATAATATTTGTAATATGTATAGTCTTGCCTAATATATTTTTTCTACTTTATTCAAATAATTTAATATGTGTGTTTATTTTTATTATTATTTGATTGAATAAAAAAATTATTTTAATTAAAAAAATTTAACAAACACAACTAGGTAAATATCATATTTTACAACTAGATAAATATCATATTTACGAGATAAAGTATTTTAATTTGTATTTGTTTCTTAATTTTTTTCAATTTTATTTTTAGTTATTATTAATTATTTTTTAATTTATCAGTTCTCAATTTTATTTTATTATTTATATACATAAACTTTTTAATTTGCACTTAAAAAAGTTTTAGTTACAAGAAAACATAAAAAAAAATCTGCATATATAATTTTTTTTATAAGAAATAAAAATATTTAATCCACATTAGAGCAAGATTCACATAACTAGTATCTACTATGTATTGATATTAATTTTTTTTTAGTGTTGTTTGAATGCTTTGCTTTTTAATATTAATTAATACAATTTTTTGGAAAAAAAAACTTGCAGTGTAAATTTTGTATAATATATTTATTTTTAATTATTTATATTTTTCCCAAATAAAAAATCATGTTGTAAGTTTTTATTTAAGATTTATATTGCATGTATTTTACAGAATATATATATATATATATATATATATATATCCTTTCAAGGTCTTTTGTTTAAAGATTTATTTTAAAATAGAGTTTAAATTATATTTCATAAATATTCTTATTGTTTTTCAATTAAGTCTTTTTCAAATAAAAAAATAAAATAATGTAATATCATTTGTAGTAATTATGGTTTCTTTTTTTTTAAAAAAAAAAGAGTCAAATACCTTAAGAATTTCCAATGAAGAGCATCGAGTATATAGTTATTTATATCATTTTTTAAATATTATTTTATTGTTTATAATAATATTATTGAAAAAAATAGTTGATAAAAAATTATACAAATACTTAATCAAATGGAATAAACAAACAAGATTTGATTGAATAAGTGCGATACAAATCGAATTATAGAAGTTTGTTGTTATTGCACTGAGATTTTGACAAAAGAAAAAACTAACAACTAAAGTTGTAAATAAATTTATGAAAGTTTGGTGTTAATTACCTTAAAATTTAAGTAAATTCACTTTGCATTAACACTGATTTCTTATATATATATCAATCTTACAAGTTTATACAGATTTTTCATTTATGATTTTCTGTACACATTGCTTAGTAAATATTGTTGGATGATTTAAATTATGTATAGAAATTTCAAAAATAAATAAATCATTTTAAATTACATATAAAAAGTCTCTACAAAATGTGCACAAGAATAGTTAATGGTTTTTATCAGATAATCTAATTGTTATAGAGTAGTTACCATGCCTAGAATATAACTAGTAGTGTACTATTAGTTATTTTTTAAGATTTATTTTTCAAAAAATATAAATATAAATAGAGAAAGAGAAATTCGATGTAAAATGTTTCTTCCATAAAACACTGCTAAAGATTAGTAGAATCTATGGGGTCGGTTTTAGAGAGATTACCTGTACAAAGGCCCAGCCATTGCCATATCTGAAGATAGACTCCATAAAACCAAGACAGCAATGTGCACAGGAAAACATGAATTCGTCTTCTCCCTCTAACAAATTCTTCAAACCCCGAGTGAGGATTCTCAATGCTTAAATGGCAGGCACAAATAGACCCTAAACAAGCACTTCCCAGATTTCAAGTTAAAGCACTTTTGGAGTAAAATTGAGAGTAGATTGCTTCCTTGAAGATAATACAGAGCAATTACCGAACGAGCTGTCTAATCAAAGATACTCCTCATAACTTCTACAGCCCAAGCCAAGCTTAACAACAATGATATAATGATCAAACGAGGAAAGTAGATATTCAAAGCTCCAATCACAACTAAAATCCACAAAGACATCCTTAACAATCCAACTGCGAGCAAAGATTAGTGGGCTGGCTCAAATCACGGAATTTCAAAACAGGTTCAAGCAATTTGATCACAATCCAGCAGCAATATCCAATTCTTCGAGTGACCCAACAATCATGTAAGCCATTGCCACTTGCAATAGCAGTAAGACAAATTCCAGCACCATCACTGATAGGCCTTTTGGAAGCAAATTAAGAGAATTCCGGCTGATGGAGACAAGGGAAAGGAACTCCACAATATGAAATGAACCATGGATGCTGCCATTTTCCATTCAAGCACAACAGTGAAGCTTGATAGAGATACAGTTTCAACTCATGGGAGGTACATCCTCTTTTTTCTTTTTTCTTTTTTCTTTTTTCCTAACACTATCTTGCGCTTCTATTAATTCCCTTGAATATAAGAAAAGATACTGACCCAAATGAGAGACCCTTGATTCCTACAGTTTCATCTGAAGCTTAATAGAGATACAGGCAAGTGGTATATTTTGTCACAGAAACGGATTCTAAAAACAATGTCCCGAAGAAAACCACAACAAAATGAATGCTCACGGTGAAATAATACCTGTATCTTTTATTCTAAAAAGTCATTCCAATCTATGCATCAAACCATATCTACAGAAGAACAAAGTATGAACCGCTAAACAAATTAGAAAATCATTATTCATTGACTATCTTGTCAAAGTTAAAAAAGACTAGGGATAAAGGAATCCCCAGAAACACCCGAAAAGAAAATAAGTGACTTCCCCTACACTAAATCAATAACCAAAGGAAAAATATCCTTGATTCCTACAGTACCACCATCAACAAACTAAACACCCATAGACCGCAACTCATCCAATTGTGCTCTAATCTGATCCTGCACCAACTCCAGCCGCTTGGAATAAACCTCCAACTCCAATATATGTTGCTTCCTCCACTTCTCATCCATCATCATTACATCCCCTACTCCAAAACTCAATGGCATCGCATTCATTGCCAATCCCCCAACGCCTCTACCAACACCACCCATCCCGGCTCCCGCCATATTGCTCAACAACTCCTTAAACAAAGGCGACAAACAACTCCTCATTGTCTCCTCGATCACACTCGACAAATTCCCGTTCCCACCCCCGCCCCCATTAACATTAGTCTCGTTCCCCACGAACCCATCATTCATCAACACACGCTTCTCCTCCGTTCTAACACCAACAACTGGTCGCGACCGCGACCGTTTTCTTGATCTAGGAGTAGACCTTTGATCCTCAATTTTAACAGCTACATCGGCATCCATCATCACATTATGGTTATTGAAGTTAGGGTTAGGGTTTCCTCCATCATCATCATCCAAATTGTGCCCATCTTCATTACCAAAACCCGCGATTTTTCCCGTAGAACTCCAGATCTTCCTCGAAATCTCAAAAGTAGCCTGATCATGTGGGGATTTAAAGCAAAAATCTTTGCCAGAATTTATCTTATTCAGAACATTACGATACTTCTTCTTTAAACGACGTAGTTTCTCAACAAGCTGGTTCTTGTTAAAATCGAGCTGGAGTTTCGACTTGATTTGATCATAGAATAAAGCGGTGTCGTTATGGTGATTATTAACAGTACCTTTTGTCGTTGTGTAATCTAAGAACCCTTGAAGTAGTTCAATTTCATCTTCATCGGTCCATAATCGTTGAAATAACCGCCTGGTGTCATCGAATTGCGGTTTCTTCGAGTCTTGAGAGGGGATGATTGTCGTTTCAGGGGGAACGCGTTGTCGTTTCAATACATCGGGTGTGGAATCAGAGGCCACTGCTGTGGTGGTGGTGGTGGTTGTGACAGCAGGGATTGAAGCGATGGTGACGGCGGGGATGGCAGTGGGGACGGCGGCTGAAGTGGAGGTATCATCGTCTTCGAGTAATTCTTCGGATAAGACGTCATCGTTTTCGGGCAAGGTGTCATCATTTTCGATTTCAAGATCGTCTTCAAGATCGTCGTTTTGAGATTGAGAAGATTGATCATCTTCATCTTCGTCGTCAACCTCGAGATCTTGGTCGAATACGGTGTCATCTTGCTCCGCTGCCATTGGAGCGAGAGAGAGAGAGGGTGGGTTAGGGTTGAAACCTTGCGAGTTGGACTTTCGTTGTTGGAGAGGGGAGGAAGGGAAGTCTGATAGCCCGAAAAATGTGGTAGTCTTTTTCACAAGGGTAAACTTCGCTTTTGACGATATAGATTCATCAAATATTTGATTTGGACCCTGTAATTTAATATTTTCTCCAATTTTGTGCTTTTAATTTCCAAAACAATCTCATGTTATCCCTATAATTAAATATTCTACTCTCTTTTTTTAGTTTCTTTTTAAAAACTTAAGCTTTTTTACGATGTATTAACATCTATAGCAATTTGAGAGTAAAAATGAGAAAATCAAATATTAAAAAATAAAATAAAAATATGAGAAAAAATCAAGTCCCGTTAGCTATTTACTAATAAAGGACAAATTTAAGAAATATAAAAGTAGTTTTGTGAAGTTCTAAACTATATATAGGTAGAAGTGTAACGTTCATAAATCTGAAAGGACAAGAAATATAATTTGACTTTTTAGAGAACCAAAATGGGGTCTGGAGGGGGGTTCACTGGTCACTGGAGAGGAAATTTAATTTCATACCTGTTCTGCTAGCCCAGCCCAGGCGAGCACATACCAGAGACGTAAAACGAGAAAAAAGAAGTTGAAACGTAAAATGGAATAATAATATTTTTTTTTGAATTTTTTTATAATTTATATTTTTTAATTTAATTTTATACTTAAAAACTATGATGGTTTATTAAGAATTAAACTTTAAAATATTTTTAATTTATGTTTTATTATTTAAATTATAAATTTACTAGGTTAATTTAATTAACTCAAATTTATTTTTTTCTAATTAATTTTTTTAAAAAAATACATTCTTTAACATTATGTTGATTAAAAATTAAATTTTATTATTTATTCTAATTTTTTTATAAAATTATCATCACTTCAGTACTCGTATTACAAGGTTGAGGGTTTATCTTAAATCATTTTTTGTGTTCTTTATTAATATATATTTTAATTTTAATTTTATCATTCAATATTTATTTTATTGGTAATTAGGTTTTATAATATTTTTTAATATATATTTTTACGATGTTATCTTTGTCTCGTGACTCATATCATGAATTTAATGAGCTGACTTAAGTTTTTTTTTCCTTTCTCATTAATGTTTTTTCTCAATTTTATCATTCAACGTCATATTGATCGGGAATTAGTCTTTATAATTTGTCTCGGTTTATTTTTTATGAGGTTATTCTCTTCTTAGAACTCGGGTCGCGAGTTTAATATCTTAACTCAAGTTGAGTTAAGTTATTTTTTTAATTATTTTTTTAATTTTATTTTTTAACATTAGATTGATTAAGAATTTAAATTCATAATTTATTTCAATTTGCTTTTTTCAGAAGGGTTGACTCAGATCATTTTTTTTTCTCTTTTTTTATTTCATTCTTAAATATTGAATTTATTAAAAAATAAGTTCTATAATTTGTTTTGATTCGCTTTTTATAGGGTTATCATAGTTTCATGATCAGATATTATAATCTTAATATTTACATAAAAATATTATCTTAAATATTTATTTTGAGTTAAACTATTTTTTTATCAGTTATTTTGTTGTATTTAGATATGCCAAATTGATTGAATCACATTTAAATAATCTTTACACGATTTCAAAGAATTTTTCTACTTAAAAAAACATTAGCAATATCAATATATTTTTTTATATAAAAAAAATCTTTATCTGAGCCATTAATATAACTAACAAAAAACTAAAAGAGAAAAAAGTTTTAATGTACCCATCCTTACAAAATACCATTTATTAGAATAATATTTTTTTTATTTATTTGTTGTTTTATTTTTAATATATTTTTTAAAATTTAATTACATCATTCAATATTATATTTATCAGGAATTGAATTTTATAATTTTTATAATTTATTTTTTATAAAGTTATC